GGGGAAAATGGTATACCTGTAATACTCTCAACAATAAAGCTAAATTTAAAAAGTAAAAAAAATAAAATAAAATAAATTAAATATAAAATTTCCACCTAAGTCCCACAATCATATACAACTGCATTCCTGAAGGTGGAACAGCAAACGCTTTGACTATATTTACTTGATTAAATAAATAGCTTTAAAAGTCCCTTCCTCCTCCACATCACCGTTCAAAATAATGTGAGGGCATCTTTAGATTTTACATCCCTCAGGTCACGGTATTCAAAGTTCAGTTCACGGCGCAGTGACCCAGACGCTCCTTAAATTGGGGAGTCTGCAGCGGCCTCCCTGCCGTCGCCCCACAGACACCGCCCGGTAGGTCTTCAGCTGCCCCAACATCCAGTTTAACCAACGCGGCGGCGATGCCAGCGCAGACGGGGGTCCCTGGAACACCAGCTCCTCCTCTCAGACACAGGGTCCCCGGGCTCTGGTCTCCTGATGGCGTTTCCCCTCCTGCTCTCTCGCCCTCCATCCCTGGCCTTGGGCCTCTCCACGGCCCCCCACTGCACACCGTGGACCGGGAGACCCTATGCTGTCTGGTCTCTTTTATTCCCATGACCACCAGAGGTTGGGGTTACTCGCTCCAGTTTCGGAAGCAAGATCTGTGCTCCCCCATTCTCACCGCCTGCTCCCTAGATGGTAGGAAAGGGCGGCACCCTCTCTTCCTTCTCGCCTCCTTCCAGGGGGACGAAGACCACGGGGAGACCCCCTAGGTCAGGAGACGGGAGCGATGGCTCAGGTGCCATCCGAGGCCCTGCACCGGGAGAGCACCTTGTCACTAACTGAGCTGAGTGACACGTTAGAGGTTAGACTCCAAGAGGAGAGGAAAGCCACGTTTCAGATTTCCTAAGCTCCGATGCTTTAAATATGAACTCAGATGAGGCTGTATTCAGATTTGGCTATGGAAAGGCAAAGTAATGTGGTAGTAAAAAGGTTACACACACACTCTGTGCTGCCTCAGGAACCATAAATAATAATTTGCATAAGAAACATTTCACTATAGGCTTTAAGGCTATTTTAATGGAAGACATTTAAAAACATCTTAGTATTTTATGTACCGTCACATAGAGGAACATCATTGGTCCACCCATCTGCTTCGCATTCCCGGAAATTAATGTTACCTATCATCTGATACCTGAAAACCAAAAATAACAGGGCAGTGAGCTAATGTAAGCTTACGTACAGTGTTAAATTTGACACCACGCAGAACGTCCAACCTCCAAGAGGGAAAATTAAAAGCAAGTGCATTTCCTTTTCTCTCTCTCTTTTTTTCTCTTACATTTCTTTTTAACTTTCTTATATATTCTTTCTTAAGAAAGACCCTCAAACCTTCAGGTGGACAGACTGGGAATAATCACCTTTGCTTGTATAAATTATAAAATACAATAGCCTACTGCGCGTGAAACAATGACTTTGCATCGTGAAGCAAAGGTCATGATTAGTCCCAGCATGTCGCTAATGTCTCGACCAAGTTCTAAACGTCGCTCAGCACTGAGATTTAGGGAATCTGAAGTCTGTGAGTTTTCGTACTTTTACCAGGTCAAAGGTGGAACCCAAAAGGACCAAACTTGCCTGGATTGCCGGGGGTCGTTTGGAGGTAAAAGAATGGGGGAAACTGGAGGGTTCAGGCCCACAGGGTCTTCATCGTTTTGGTTGTGTGTAAAAAGGTCAGAAGTTATGATTGAAGGTTGGGCTCAAAATGGACAATGGCTTTGAAAAATCCCCGTCAGGTAGTGAGGGACCAAGGAGAGACTGACCCGTAAGCACTAACACGTGTGGGGTGTCTGCAGTATCCTTGGAGAGCGAAGGGCTTCAGGTGTGTGTGTGTCTTGGTTATTTCTCCCACTCATTCTACGACGTACCTAATAGTTTTCTGCTTTTATAAGTGAGGAAATGGGAGTGAAGAGATATTTTTAAAATACACCCAGTTAGTGAGTGGTTGAGTTTCGGAATGCATGTTTACTTCAAAGCCTAAGTGTTAAAATAGTCTATTTTACTGCCTGAAATCAAGAAATCAAGGCCGAGAGAAGATGCCTTGTCATCTCTTGACCCTGTTTATATCGATGTGGCCTACACCTGTAATGACTCCGGTTTTTCATGTATGAAATTTCCTTTAAAACAAGTTTTTGACCTGGCTGGGAAAGGAAAGAAAGTGACCAAGGAGGGGACCCAGTGTCAAGATGAGCCATGAAAACCCAGAGAGGGAACAGAGTCAATGTTTATAAACATTACAGCATTTTGCACTCATATGATAAGCTCACACCTTAAAGACTAGTTGTTATTTTATAATAGACCATGGAAACTTAAAAAACTAGTTGGTATTATTATTTCAGTGTAAAAGTCTTGCTTCACCTAAATTTTGCAAGATTTGATCAAAATAGGTAGCATGTCATCTAATCTCATCATGTTCACAGTCCCTGAGCCAATGAGCTCCCATAACAGTCCACACCTAACAGGACACAGTGGGGACCTGTGGGAGTGAAGCCTTAGTTACACCCGTTCTATTGCCCTGCCCTCCTGTGACCACACGCGAACAGGGTAATTATAATTCCTCGGAATTTTCCACCATTGAGGAGATAACATGCTATCCAGGCATAATTTTTTCCATTATTTGATTTTAACTGTTTGGGTTCCGTGTGTGCTACCTATAAAAAGACTCCTAGGAAAGAATGGTAATCTTAATACTATAAATTAGGACCGTTCCTATTAACCACATCGACGGCCAGTGACCTCAGTCATAAACCTCGTTTTGCGTGAACCACTTACCCCTCATTGCAGGTATAAACTACCCTGGCTCCGTACTCAAATTTATCTCCGACTGTAAGTTCCATTGAACCAAAGGGAGTGTCCCCGGGGTGTCCACAGGGCTTTTCTGAAATGAAGAGAAGGGTGCCATAGGGGTGCGTCACAAGGGAAACACATTTTACGTAAGGCTTCGGGGACAGGGATAGCGGATGATATATTAGGAGACAGAAGTGAAGACACGGGAGAGTGAAAATGTCACAGTCATTATTTTAGAATTGAACTTATCTGTATTCTCGGTTTTTGAATCTTGGAAGATGTATCTTGTCTACATTTAAGATGAATGATGGTGTCACCTTTTGTATGTAAATGGTGACACTGATATCATCACTCGGCTGGTACGGCTACCGCATTAAACATTCAGTAGCTTCCCAACTAGAAGTTTCTGCAAATGTCACAAACGTGTGAATGCCTTACTCTGACATGTTTTTGATGGGTTCACGGCCACCCACTGGCCTCTCCTGCACTCCACGGTGATGCTGCCGTAAGTTCTATACCCCGGGCGGCATTTGTACGTGGCCTTGGTGCCCTCTGAGTAGTCTTGTTCGGACCAGGAACCTGTCAGGATCTCCGTGTGCTTCCTGGGGGGAGGCCCTTGACAGTCTGCGAACGACAAAAACAGAGCAAGAGCTTCAAGGAACTGTTGACGTATGCAGCATGTTTAGGTCACTTTTGCTTTCAAAAATACCTATATGAGCACAGGTCCAGCCGAATGGATGTCTTAATATACGTAAAATACATATTTTCGCTTCCAGAAATTGAATCTGCATAAATGTTTAAGAATAAATTTTCAGAGAAGTCGTTATACTTTACTGTATCGCTTTAACTGTTGCCTTGCACTCATTCAATTGGGAAATATTTATTGGGCATGAATCTAAGTTATGAAGAAAAAAAAATGAATAAAAGAGAGGAAAGATCCGCCCTTGTAGGGGAGTTATTAAATAAGTAACGAAGGAGATGCAGAATTCGCATTACGCATAGGTGAATTTTCTTTAGAAAAATAAAGCATGGTAAGAGGATACGAAAGTATGTGGAAACAGTTCAAATTGGCTAGAACAGGATGGAACAGGACAATTGTTTTTGATAAGATACACAAGACTGGTGAAATTCTGGCAAAACTGATCAAGATATATAGAAGAAAGAAGGCACAAATACCATGATCTAGAATAGAACTTCAGAGGAAAATGAGTGCCTATGGAACCCCACACAAATGTTATTTATTACATAAAAGATGTGGTCTCACAGGGAGCTTTCTGTTCTCTGAAAGGCAAGGGGGAAAAACAGTCGACTGAGGCAGAGCTCGTTATAGAACATATTCGTTATTAAAACGTTTTACAACATTTCATAGGCACTAATTTTCCTCTGACGTTTTCACACGTTTTTAGCACATTTATGTTAGGGAACCTGTCATAAATGACTCCACAGTGCAGTTTTCTATTTTTAGAAGTTAAATAAAATATACTTTTTGCCACTAGGTGGTGGTAATACCCCGTCCCTTCCGGCCTCCCAAGCGAGTTTTTGTTTTATTTTACAATTTAATGCTCATGTTTGTTTCCAGATGGAAATTTTCTGTTTAATTACAGGCTAATAAGTGTGTTTTTCAGATTATTAGATTATTAGGAAAATAAGTGAGATAAATTTCAAGTGTAGATGCCAATCTTGTGAGTAGAGGGCTGTTTTCCGCTCGTGTATATAACGTTTTGATTAACTTGGCTCCTACTCTGCTATGAAGCTAGTGCACAGGAAAAGGAATACAGTTTTTCTCCATTCATTTATTCGGTTGAAATTATTTTTACTAATGCAGTGATCTATCGAAAGAGTAATCCAGCCACAAAAAATTCAGCCGCTTTGCTGGCCAGAGGCAATGCGTTTTCCTTTTGGTTTGCGTTGTATTTCCAGATAACACATTTATACCTCTAGTTCTTCATTTTTCAAATTTAGGCCGTTGGTTTTAACAATCAGATGTGAAAGACAAAGATACATGTCCCCCATAATCTTCCCGCCAGCTTTTCACCATAGTTACTCTGTGTGTACATTTACTGTACATCAAGAGTGCCCAAGCTGATGACTCTTTTTGCTTCAAATAATACTTAAAACTCTGTGCTTCTCCCACGGGCTTTAAATGGCATCTCTCGACTCTGTAAGAAAAAGATATATTGGCCCTGCTCTGTTCCCGATCTCTCTTTCCACGGCCACCCCCAGATTCTTAGGTCTGATTACTCTCATTTGTCATCTTGACTATGAAACATTCTTAACCCCAGACTTTTGGTGGTTGGCGTTGCCTTGTCTTTCAGACTCCACTTAAATATTATTTCCTTCACAACACAGCTCATGATTCATAATTATTTTTAGGTTTACTAGGATTTCATCTACCCTTCCATTGGCATGTAGGCTCCCCGAGAATAAGGAATGTTTCTGTCTTGTTTTTTGTTTTAATAATGGAGGGATTTTCATGAATATCCAGATCTTCTCACTTCGAATGTACCTCCTGTCTACTTTTGTTCTGATCTTTAATATATTGAATAATTTCAACTCATGTTGTAACAAAATATTTAAAGTGATGATTCGCCAAATTGTGTTCTGACAATGATTAAACCTATCTTATGACATGACTTTTATTTACCCGAATTGTCAAAGAGCTACCTGTTTGAGTTCATTCTCAAGCATTTTCAATTAGATAAAAAGTTATTTTATCCAAAGTAGTCAAAATGTTGGCACATATGTGCATCAACCACACCAGCTTGTAGTAAATGGACAGTTCTTGCAGGGGGTTCTTATTAAACAGGGAGCATAAAAGTATTTTCAAAAGCATGGAAACATTTTTTGAGATAGGATTAATCTGAAAGCTTTCATTATTACTATTTTTTGAACAGCTATCACATTTCTCAAGCTCCAAGTTAAAGCATAAACTAAGCTTTCTTACATCTAAGCATTTACTTGGATTTAAACAATGACTACTTCACCTTACATGTTTATGAGCCCATTAAAAGTCAATCGATTTTTTCTTTTGCAAAACACTGCCTGGGTGAACGTTTTGTTCACTGGGCCTGGTTTTCCAGTTTAAAGTTATTCAGTCTATAAATACGGAGTTTGAGAGGGTTTGGCTGTTGGGCTAGAATAGGGCTCATTTTACTTTAATTTGAGGGACATGCTTATAAAATTTTGGTCAAAGTTAAAAAAACACACACTTGCCCAGCCAGGCGTGGCTCAGTGGTTAAGCATCGACCTAGGATCCAGGAGATCGAGGTTCGATTCCCGGTCGCGGCACATGCAGGGTTTTGGGCTCAATCACCAGCCAGGGGCGAGCAGGAGGCAGCCGATCCATGACTCTCATCACTGATGTTTTTCTCTCTCTCTCCCCCTTCCTCTCTCTGAAATCAGTAAAGATATATTTAAAACAAACAAACAAAAGCAAACACACTTGGTCTTTTAATAATCAGTATTCTAATTCTTTCGCTTTCAAATTTTAAAGGGGTATTATTGACAAACACACACAGAGCTAATTACTTGTTTTCAATGTCATATTGTTTGTTGATGCTTATGTACACCACAATACTTTATATGGTACAATACAGTATGTTAATAAAATGAAATAATCATTCCTTTTGTTCCCCCCACTAAGTGACCACTATTTGGAAAGTGCTAGTCAGAGTGTGTGGTATTTAATTGTCAGTCAAGAGATCACTGAACAAACGACTGAACGAATGAACAAATAGGAACCTGTCTCGGGACATTTCCATTGTATCTGTAGGTTATGGACAACCTGTGGAAGGGCCTAGTAGATGGTGGCAAATATAAAAGACGAGAGAGGACAGGGGAACAGAAGTTGCGCTGTATGAACCCCAGAAACTCTAATACCTGTAACCCCATTGTCCACCCTGCCCACCTGTCCTAAGTTTGAATGTACGCTGTACTTTTTGAAGTCAGAAATCATTTTTATAATCCCTTTTCTATCTATTTCTAGTTAACAAGGCTTGCGAGAAACTTGGCTCCCTCTCCGTTAAAATGTCAAAACAAATAGAAGTGCTCTGTCAAATCTTTTATTCCCCTTTCCCTTGATTGTTTTTGTGATTTTTTTTTTTCCTGTCCCACTAATTTCTCTGAGCCATTTTTATAACCCTTCCTTATCATTTTAAGCTAAAATGTAACACTTTCCCCCCCCAATTACATCATGTTCTCTCCGGGCACGATGTTCTGAAGAAATGGGTAAAATGCACGAGTGGAGAGAACACAGGCTGGAGCGCTGGCGGGCAGAATGTCACAGCCGGGCAGGGGGGAGGGAGTGTGGGGTGAGAGGAGGCAGAGCTGGAAGAAGGGAAAGCGCTGAAAGCTGTCGCACAGTCAGGGTTTAAGCAAATAAAAATGGATCCACTTAGACTTTGGCTCCAGCCCTGGCAGTCAAAGGCCAATAATCAGTCTTTACTAACCTGGGCTTCAGCTTCTCCGTGGGAACTTCCTTCTAGTCAGGAATAGTTTTAGCAATCCTTAAACAGCTCGGTTCCAGTTTAACATTTCATGCACGCAAAAGGGGAGCGTGTGCATTGCCAGGACGGGCCTGCTCCACACCTCCAGGCTGGCTGGCTGCCCCCCGCACCCCGCAGGACGCCCCTGCCTGCTTGGCCCAGCCCAGCGGGTCTAGCTTGCCTTGAGGCCTCGTCTGAAGGAATTGCTTCACTGCTTCTTACTCTGCCTCTCACCCATTTCTACCTTTCCCTGGGGAAACTGTTGCAGGAACTTATCAACATATAATAATCCACAGCAAAAACTCACTTGGTTTCAGGACTATGTGGAGAGCAAGGAATAAAATAGTTGTTCTATAGCTACCGAAAATTCATGTCGCTTTCCTCTCCTGGCTTGTGCATTATGTGCTTTTATTTTCTACATCGAAAGACCCTCGGGGACAGGGGTTTTGTGTTATTTGAGAATATTCCTCGATACTAGAGGCTGACAGGAGTAAGCATTTCACTCAAAACTTGTTGACTTAGTGAAAAGTTCTGAGAATTTATGAATGCTATGGAATTCATTTGGTTTAAAAATGTCAATCAAGTACTTATCACATAATTACCTGTCAGGAACTAGGAAAGCAAATTTCCTCCAAGAAGAAACTTATTAAGCTACTGAGAAATAGTGGTAGAATTAAATTTAAGGATGGATCCAGAAACTGTCCTACTGATACCAGGAAAAAACCTCCCACACTCACATTCAGTACATCTAAAGGTGGCTCTTGTAGAATATTGTATATTTTATCTACAACCCCAGGGAAATCCTACTGAACAACATAGTGTCAGCAATTGTATATTCATTTTTTTCAAATTTATGTAATATGTTCATGGTAATGATACAGGTAAGGGTCGTCCACAAGACTTTTAAGGCCGTGTCAACATCAGTTCTCAATGATAAATGGGTATTTCTTTCAGAAGAGTTAATATCTATATTTGAAACACACTCAATCATATGATTTGAAGGCTTTTACTGTCTAATTTATATCCTAGTTCTATATAGGATACTGCTTAATACTTTGCCAGAAAGTATTTTAGTGAAACTCTAAGCAAAAAAGTAAATTACATTTTGTGACAATTACAACGGAAGTGACTATACATATTACAAGTTTCAAAAAGAGTTTTAAAAATACTTTCTGAAAGTTTACATTAGATAAAATTACGATAAAGTAATTTTAAAAACGACAATAAAATGCCATTCAAATGAGCTTACATAGATGCTTTAAACTTCACCACAGTGTCAAAAGCCACCAAACCCTAATTTACAGGGCTGTAAAATCCCCAGATTTTTATGACCACTGAGAAAAGCCTATTAGCAAATGTTTGATAATATAGCTGTAGAAAAAAGTCTGTCCTTTTTACTCTTACCTTGGGCTACACACACAGTCCCTAAGAGGAGCCACAGGATCTCTGCTGGAAGCCTCATGGTTTCGGCTCTTTCAGGGACACATTTAGCTGCAGACGGTGCTCACACTCCCTCGGCGTCTCCTCTGCGGAAAGTTGGGATCAGAGCAGGAGGCACTTGTTCCAGAAGGAACTTGAAACCAGCTCGGGGAACGGAGACGACCGAAGGCCCCGCCCATCAGGAACTTCTGCAAAGCGGGACTCCCACTGGCTCCGGCTGAATGGGGCCTGGGGACCCGCCTACCTTTTTTGTTTTCATAAACCCGGCGAGTTCTCTGCTGGAACCTGTTGGGGTTCTGGGAACGTGCAGAGCAGAAACCGCTGCCCTCTGGACTCATCAGAAACCTCCTCATGACTCAAACCCCACTCAGGCCCCCTGTGCGGAACCCCAGGAGATGAAATAATAGCAGCTCTTTTAAGAACCTTTCTGGGCCTTGAGGTTGGGCCAGGCTTTTGCAATCCCCACCTGGATGACGTGGGCCGGTTTTGCCAAGAATGCGGGGCTGGCTGCTTTGGGGAGGGGTGGGGAGCTTGCTCTTTCCTGCAACCCGAGGCCTTAGTCTTCTAAAGGCTCTTCATAACGTGTGCACAGCAAAGGGTTCCCTCTCCTGAGGCGTAAGTGAGTTTAATAATTCAAAAAGCAAGAAAGGGAAATGCTGATTTCTGTACTGAGACGCTCTGCATAAACAGTATGTAAGCAAATAACCGGTTTACTGAGTATTAAAGTGAAGGCGGCCACGCAGCAGGCCCAGGCCCCGGGCAGCCCTTTCTCCCAGGCCCGCCAGTCCTCTGGGTCCAGCCACGCCACCCACAGGGTGCCCTCCTGCCTGATCGCAAACGACATGGAAATACTGGCCAGTTCTTGTGCTTCGTATAAATCGGATAATGTTTCTCAGGTTTATTTTAATGCATCCGCACTTGCCTGGAGTTCCGAGCATCGTGCAGTAGGAGGCTGGTACCTTTACTTCCTCCCGAGGGGACACGGCTGTCATCACCTAATTGAATAATTTGCCCAGAAGAAAAGAATGATGCCTCTGCATTTTCTTTAATTCCATTTGGGAGGAAATGAAAACACGCAAGGGCCTCCGTGCTTATTTATTGCACTTATCTTCCGAGGTGCTTTTCTAAAACTCAAGTGCAAGCTCTTCAAATAATTCCGCCTCTTACAGGAAACGAAAAGAAGAGAAACACGCACCTGCCACCCCCTTGGCGACTTCCTCAGTCCCCTCGGAGAACGGAGAGAGCCTGCAGGGACAATGAGCCCCCCTCTTGTACCAGCTGCCTCCTCTAAGGTCCTCACTCCCGAGTCCCCAGACATCCATCCTGGCGCCACACACAACACAGGGACATTTCTGAGCCGGCACGAGGCTGTAGGAAGGACACTTGCTCGTCTCTGCCCTGAGACTGCTTCGACCTTCCAAGCTCTACTGACCTAGCAGTAATCGCTGCTTGCTGATTAATTCCCGTGTGTCAGGTTATATTAAATATATCGCCGACTAATTCCCTCATAAAGCTTGTAAGCTAGTTCTGTCATCCCTGTTACACAAGTGACTCAAGTAACTTAAGATTAGAGGCCAGACTGTCTGGTTTCAAGGCTGGACACGTCAACACCAGCTCACCGCTTTCTGACGCCAACTGTGCACCACTCCCGAGCTCTGTTACCAATTTTTTGCTCTGAGCAGAGAAAATTCTTGGAATTGGGCAATGAGATAAACAATTGCCCCATGCCATCCCACCCTTAAAAGAAAAAACAAATTTAAATAGACTTGTGATAATAGAGAGGTGCACCCCCAAACTCCCAGGATACAACGTGCATCCTTTTGGGCCTGTCCCTTGAGGTTGTAAATCTTTTCATCTCTTTGACATCTGGGGTCGTCTCTGTGTCTGCATGTTTATGTACGTCCATGGATATACGTTGTGTATATGTGATATTTTTCTACCTCGGATGGGTACTGCCAAAATTATTTTGTAAAAAAAAAAAAAATTCCTCTGGAACTGTCTTTAAAAAATAAGCTTGAATATCAATGGCCTATTTGAAACTTAATTCTCTCTCATTTGTTCATGGGACAGAGTTTTGCTGGACTACTGGCCTGTTCTTGATAAGATTGTGTAAGGTGTATGCTTGCCTTTTGCGCAATCTGGCTAGAAAACAAGGATTCTGTGTTTAATGAAAATGATTTCCTGATACTGCTCGTTGTCTTTATCAGGTCTTTGATTGTTAAGAAAACAGATCTTTCTCCATTAAAATGGCTAAGTTGGTTTTTTTTTTACAACTCTATAATTCCCTGGTATTTGCCTTTCATTTCTTTAATCGTGCGTGACTTTGGTTAAATGATTAAATATTGTCTCACAGTGACCTCTGGTTCCATTTAATTGTTTTATACCTTTTTAAATATTTTTATAAACTTCCCTCAAATAAAATTCTAAATGAAGTCTTGTTGACCTTGAACTAATTTTGGGATTTACGTGAGGGTCCCTGGGACATCTCAAAAGATGTGTTCTGTCTTTTTATTAGAGATATAAAACAAATTAGGCTCATTTGATATGTTAAATTACATGGGAAGAGGGGTGAAGGGGGTCTTAATATATGGTGATGGGAGAAGATATGACTTTGGGTGGTGGGCACACAGGGCAATATACAGATCTTGTAACATAGAAACCCACACCTGAAACTTATATATTCATATTGACCACTGTCACCCCAATAAACTTAATTTAAAAAAAAGAAAACAAATGAGAAGTGATGCTAAAACTTTCTTTAGGTTGTTTTGTATAAATATATTATTTTATTATTTATTAAATGTTATTACACTGAGTGATTAATACATTATTAATATAGTTATCAGTACAAGCATTCCTGCAAAAGTGCTTCATCTTCAAGGATGTTCGTGGACAAGCCTGTGACAACGACAGGTTTCTGATAACTACCATCAACCTGCCTTCGCTTGGGAAGGACAAGAATGCACCTTCCAGTGCTCCGCAGGGCCACCTGCACAGCCTGGGATACGTCACGGGGGGTAGCCCGAGGCCCGCCTGCCTTCCTCACATCAGTAAAACAGGCCCACTACATGGGTGACATCATGTGAACACGGGAAGACTTGCCTCTGCTGAGGGTCACTGCAGGCTCTGCTGGAACATCCATGAAGTAGGTGGTGGGCGGTGAACCCACAGAAAATCCAAGGCCCAGGCCCTGCGGCCAGAGAGGTGCTAGGAGCTGTTCAGTTGGGTAAGATGCATGTGGCCCCAAGCTAACCCCCCAGAACATGAACAGGGTGCACTGGCAGGGATTTTGGAGTTCTGAAGACTTTTATTGCCCACCTGGCACAGCGCCTCGGCCCCTCACACCTTCTGGTAAATAGGGCGCCTGTGGCCTGGGGATCCGAGCGGCAAGCGCCTTTGAGGAAGCAAAATACGAGGGGAGCAGGGTAAAGCTCTGGGCACCTCCCAGGCAGGGCTACCATGTGTTAGGTGTGTCTGAGACTCTGGAAAACATGGGGTGGGCAGAGTGGAAAAAACAACACAAGGGGAGGGCACCCCTACGAGCCCCGAGGATCCTGGAAGGGGGCAGACGTCTGGAATACCCCGTAGAGCAGGCGCTCCCAGCAGGCAGAGATCTGGCGAGTTGGATCCAGCTTCTTATAGCTGCTGCCCGGAGATCACAGGAATCGCTTCCACCCTCATTTCTTTGTCCAGAGTAGGTTCCACGCGCGCACTTAATTTAACAACCACCACGTGCGGCCCTACTGTGCGCCTCCACACCCTCCTTCCATTACTTCCTGATTTCCTTGGGTTTAACCTTTATTCTATGGTTCCCACATTCACACTCAGTTTCATAACTCATTTTTCCACTTTCTCCAAATCTTAGTTTTATATCGAAGTGGATGTGTTTTTCTCTTCACCACCGGTTTTCCAACTGTGGCTTCTCCGCAGTTACTGAGGGCCTAATTTTCGTTCATCTTTTTTCCCCCCTTGCATTTCATAATTGAAATTTTAAGACAGGCTCTTGGACTCTTCCTTGACTGATTGCATATTCATGAATTTATTTCTTTTATACTAAAATGTCAGCCTGACTGAAATTTCCAGTACCCAAAGGGCACCTTACACACTTATTACCATATTATTGGCTATATTTCCTATGCTGCGCTCTACAGCCCGTGACTAGTTTGTACTTCCTGGTCCCTTCCCCCCTTTTACCCAAATTTCTATTTGGAGTTTGTGATTTGGGCTGTGACTGTCTCCTAGTCCCACTGAGTATATAACAGTCTCTACTTTTTATACTTCATTGTTGTTTCAGTGGGTGTAACGAAGAAAAATAGATACAATTGCAGAAGCAAAAGAATGCTTAATTCACTGAAATTGGGTAAAACTTTGGTCAGTAAAAATATTTTGTAACTGCTTATCCTTTAAAGCCTGTTATTATTATAACATTTTACATCTTTCTGGGGGACCAGGTGGCCTGATGCTCGGTGCTGGGTGTGTAATTACTGCGGAATGTGGAGCTGGGGACCCAAACGTGGGATGTGGATCCAGGCCAATGATTTGAAAATTAGCATCCAAACAGCAGCGGATTTGCTGAGAAACAAAATGTGAAGTTGTTAGTTTTATGAGGAAATGATTCTGGTATCGGGCCAAGAAAGACGAACAATTATGGCACCACTGTGGAGGCTGTTGTAGGTGACATAAATCTATCAGTGAGGAATTTCTTCAGGTACAAGCGACAGAAATTCAGTTCAAACCGTCTTAAGGAAAAAGAGAACTGGTGGATTCCTGCAAGCGGGTATTCCAGGATGGAGCTTGCTGTAGTCATGGCAAGAAATATCTTGTGTAGCTGCAAAATGTGGGCCATTTCTAAGTTTCACAAGAAGGACGCCCACGGCTCCTAGTTAGAAACCCCAGCAGAAAGAGCCCTGTTTAACCCTGGGGGGGGGGAGCAATGGGACCAGGTGTGGGGGAGGCAAAGGGCACACGTCTGGGATGCAGACCCCAAGGGCTGGATAACAGGAAAGGGCTTTCTAAGATTTTGTGCGCGTGTAAAACACAGGCCACAACTCTCGTGCCCTCCAGGCAGGAGTGATTTATGGGTGGAAAGGCAGCATTTACATCGAAATGAGATTCTTGCTGACTCACTGCTTTCAGATCGCGGATGTCCAGGCCTAAGGAAGCTGTCCAATCTCAGCTAAAAGCATGTGAAATCTCTAGTAAAGCACCTTTCGGAGATCAACCTCTTCAATAATAATGGCTCTTGCTCAATGAAGTATCTCATTTTCTGTAATTCGGATTTTCCCCCGAAGACTAGAGGAGAATGATCAGTGGAGGCCACACGGTTGCTGCTCGAGGCCCTGCCTGTTGACTTCCCCTTTCCTCAGGTCCCCAAGCAGGACTACGCAGCATCATTGTCGTCAGGTTCTGCATTTGCATTTTTGTTTTAGTCTAGGTTTTATATGACATTAGAAAACCACAGTCAACACTCAAGTTTTAATAGTTTATACCTTCAAACTGCACGAATCAAGACAGTGATGGACACAGAGCGACCACTTAGTATCTTGAAGCGGTGAGCTATCTGAAAAGAAATAAAAATCCCAATCTGGTATATGGGGGTATAATGAATATTTACAACATCACACTGCAGATAAAAGGAAACAGCGGCGCTCGACCTCTCCTACTTCAGAAGGCTTGATGTCGTCAGGGCCCCGGGATGGTCAGGAGCAGGATGCCTCCTCTAAAGCTGTCAGTGAGCAGGGTTTGGGCCACTGGCAACCGAAGAATGTGAGATCCGAGACAGAACTGGAGTTTTCCAAGCCTTCTGGAGATTTTCCTTGCCAAGACGTATGTGTTTTGTAGGTAGAAGACCAATGTGGGGGCGATTTCTGGACCGTTGATAGAGAATATGCTTCACAGTTATGGAATCCCACTTGGCACCAAGGAATTCTCCCTTTGGCGCTCTGATCTCCCTCTGAAAATTCAGCCAAAGCTAACAGACTCAGCAGCAGGTAAATGGAGAGGTGTGTTAGCATCAGGAGCCGCGCCGTCTAAGGTGTGCATGCGGGGAGAGCAACGAGGGGGGAAAGAAGCTGGCAGCAACGGCACAGGGTGTCCCTGGTTAGAAAACGTCACCTGCCTGCTGCCAGGTGTCCACGGTAAGGTGTGTACCCATCTCGCCCTTGGGACCCGTGTTATTTTTAGAAAGCCCCCAGGCATAGGCTCGGGGTTCGGGCGTCTCCGTTAATCTCCACCTGGCCTTCGGACGCGCTACTCACCTGCGCGTTTCAGGGGGAATCTGTGAGTCGAATGCAATGTTTTCCTTTTTCACATTCTTTATTTTTTTTTTACTGTGTCCTCCTTACAGTGTTGATGAAATAGAAAGGATTTTGTTCATGTGCCTGGGGAATGTAGGGCAGGTTTTGTTACATTCTTTCCGCCTGGGGATAGATGCTGAGAAGGGGATTGGAGGAAGGTGTGACATTGTATCGTACAGAACCGGGTTTAAAACTGTTGCTAAAAATCGATCCTCTGTCAGAGCAGAATGAAAGCTTCCGCTCCCACGGAGGAGGTTAGGGGGGCGCAGCGAAGGAAGGAAACCAAGACAAAGAGCGCGGCAGAGGAAAGTGTATTTTAACAGCAGGAAGTGACATGAAAAAAAAAAGCATAAAAGTGTAGAGGAGAAAGACAGGATGGAGAGCGAAAAGTCAAAATGAACGGCACAGGTGAAAAAGCCGCCTCCAGAAAACTGGAGAATATATGAAGGTGAGAAGAGGACCTCCCAATTACAAACTTGCTTCGATGCCTAAATTTTGCTAGATTTGGACAATGGCAGGATAGTATTTTTTATGCTGCATTATTCTTTAAATTTTTTTTTTTTTAATTTAGCAGCATAGAATTTTCCACTCGGACAACAATTTTAAGACACACAAAACTCAGTGTATCATCGATGCAGTGGCCTCCGCGTGGCCTGGAGCCTTCAGGTACTTTGTACCGTTTGCATCCTGTGGGCTGCGCGGACTTTTATTTATTTTGTCATTTTTTTGGTTTTTGTTATCTGGACACTTGGACGCCAAATAATTAAGAATGCCACAAAAGTAAAAAATAAGGTTATAGTGCTTTCTTCTAAGTGAAACGAGAGGAAGCCTTACCCTCCCTCTATCCTCCAGTATCTCAGCGCCTAACACTCAATAGCTATGGGTTTTTTTTTTAGTGTCCTGATTTTGAGTCTGCTGCTGATGCATAAGTATTTAAATTTATTACATATACAAGCAGACAATGATAATGTAAATAAAAATATAAATCTTAACCTGGAACATTTCAAAGGTAGACTTCGTAGAGCTGTCTTAGCAGCTGAGGAGCAGGTCCGAAATATAAAGGTGATATTCTCTCCCCCGCACCCCAAATTAACGATGTGGGGGTAGAACTTTCTCATCTGGCAAAGTGATCCCAAAAGTTCATGCAAAAGAAACAAACAAATCCACAACTCTGGAGCGACAGTGAATATGGATAAATGTTAATTTCCTAGGTGTGAAAACTTTTCAGGCATCTCAACAAACATTTGTTGAGACTTGGCTGTTTTGAAGGCGCTGTGTCAGGAAGATAAGCGGCAGGGAGGAGGGTAAGATGTCAGGAAAACCCAGTTAATCGTGGGGCAGACCACAGGGCATCATAAGCACTGCGAGAAAAATGCCCACAGGGGTATGAAGTGCCGGAAGGAAGAGGCACCGTCACTACCTGGACAGAGCAGGACACCTGGTGCGGGACATGCCATCTGAGCAGGTCTGGAGGGGCTGGTGGGGTTTTGTCCCTATGACAGAGAACAGGTTCCTCGGAGCGCACGGGGAGGTCCCCAAGGGCATGGCGGTGATAAAGGCTCCCACACCCTTAGATGGGACGCATTCAGCGTCCGTGCAGACCCTGACCAAGCCGGTTCCTGCTGCACGTGGACACTCAGCCAGGCTCCCAGCAAGCAGAGGCTGATACTGAAAAACCAGCTGTGGCCCCGGCCCGCGCCCTTCCCCGACTGCGTGGACCACTCCTGGGGGCACCCCCCCGGGCCGGGGCCGGGCCACCTGCGAGCCCACGGGGCCAGCAGGGGCAGCGCCAGTAACTGACCCGTCCACTGACCTCGAGGTGTCCCCGAGCTTCCCCAGCCACCCTCCCAACGTCTCCCTTGGGCGGCCTGCAGCGCCCCTTCCCTCTTTTCCAGGATCAGGGAAACACCTCCCTTCCTGCAGATGGTAAAACGGGGGCTTTCCTGGGGCTGGGGCGGGGATCCCCCGCAGGACCGCGCCCTCCGCAGCCCGCGCGCCCCGTGCAGGC